CCCCCCAAAACTAGCATCCCTTAGAAAGCCAAGAACAAGAATTCAGTGTTTAAGACACTCAAATTTCAAATTTGTACACAGGCTATATATTTTTAAAGACATTCAAACATCTTCCCAAATGGGAAACTATTTCAAATATATTCTATTATCTACAAGAATATTTTTAAAAGACGTAAAGAATGTATGAAATATTTGAAATATACGTGGGTTCCACTTGGAAAAGGTGCCCATTAAATACATAAAAACATTAATTATTTAGTCAGGTAAATCTATAGATTACACTAGTCAAAAAAATTTCAAACTTGGCTGGGCATGGTGGCACATGTCTGTAACCCCAGCACTGGGAGGCTCAGGCAGGAGAATCGCTGCAAGTTCGAGGCGCGCATGGGCTACCCAGTGAGTTCAGGCCAGCCCCAACTGCACAGCAAGACTCTCCCTAAATCAAAACTCAAAATTGGGCAGGAAGCACGGCTCAGTGACCCTACCATGTGTTAGGCTCTGGGTTCCATCCCTCGTACTTGCAGTCCTTATTATCTTCTCAGCACATGTTTTAAATACATGTACAATTGTCAAGAAGCACATTTAAAATACACCTCATCAAAACCAGGTATTTCCCATTCATAACATGTCCTATGGATTCCTATAAAACTTAACAACATTTTACGAACTTACCAAAAGCTGCTCTACCAGCTTCTTCACGTTCCGCCCCATCTCTGGAGACTGCGACCCACTACATGCTAGTTTTATTAACATGGCAAGGAAGTTTTTACACTTCTTCACGTTTTCTAACATCGCCTAAACGTCAAGAAACATAGCACAAGCGTTAGCCAGCAAATGAGATTCGAGAACTCTGGCAAGAAACCGTATTGGTGTACGCAGCAAGCAGGAGCGTACCGGAGAAAGACCTGCCTGAGCAGCTGCTGAGTTCTCTGCTTTAGAAGTGGGCTCATCTGAGGGCGCAGACGGTGTCCCCACTTCTGCAGGCTTCAAGGTGGTCACAGTACTCACCGGCTTTACAGGAGTAACCGCGACAACACTGGCTGGCACAGGTATTGACTGAAATTGAATTAGGACACGCTAAGGTAAGTGTCGCTGGGTACCGCACTTCACACCTAGTCAACTACCAATCGATCTGGACATCTCTGCTTTGAGGGGACGCAGTAAGAGTCCACAGAAGCGTAACACAGAGCTCTGGACTCCAACATACCTGGGATTCACTCTCATCTACCCTCCTACATTTTACTGCCACCTACGATGGTACACTAAGTACAGGCAAGTTCTGTTCTATTACTTATACTATTATTATATATTACACTACTCTATTGAGTACAGGCAAGTTACTAGCCTGCTAAATCCTCTCATTCCTATACAAAAATAGGATAGCAACAGTTCTTCTACCCCGGAGTTGTCTACAAAAGAGAATTCCATACAAGTAAATCCCCAAAAAGTATTGTTCATGCCTCTCCATAAGTATTTAAAATAGCTGGTCTTTATAGGAAAACAAAGAATTATCTGCCTGGCACTCTTCTGTTTCTTCCAACATATTAAGCAACGTGATCTACTGATTATCTTATATGCAAGCAGGCTGCTTTTAAACAGACCATTAAAATAAGCATTAAGAATATTACAAAATGTGGTATTTTTCATACAGAAAAATTCATTCTCCATTCTTTTGGAATGAGATGTGACTCTAGCACCACCTGCAGGACAAATATTTTAATACAAGAGATCGCAACAGGTAATAATTTTCAAAAACCAGTGTCTCAAACATTAAAAGCTGCGGAACATAAGAACAGCTTAGGGTGGGAAGCAGGTGACAAGGAGCAGTATTCACAATTAACACACAAAACTGAATATTGCACTATGATTTTAATTTAAATGCTTATGTTCTGCAAGCACCCACCAAGAAAAGTCAGTTTGTTATAATGGTCAAGAAAACTTCCTGGGGCCTGGCGAGATAGCTCAGTGGAAAAAGCGCTTGTCTGGCAAGCACAGGGTCCTGAGTTCAATCCCCAGTACCGGGGGAAAAAAAAAAGACCAGAAAGAAAGAAAATTTCCTTCTTCGATAGTTAAGCTACGTCAATTTGAACGTACACCAAAATTTCCACTTTAGAGACTGGTGCGTATATCAGACAACAATGTATTCATGGGAAAAGGGGAGGAAATTTAAAACGCTGGTATGATGCAGAACTAATGATGAAATAGTGAACAAAAGAGGTATAATTAAAAATTACAACTAAATTAGTAAAATTCTATTAAGTAGAGAAAGTCTCAAAAGCAACAACAAAACGGCACCACCCCCCTCCTCCTCATGCCCTTACTCCTGCTTTCCAGAGGCAACAACTGTGTAGCTTCTTCTGAACCCTTCTGAAGAATTTTTAAATGACCTTCCAGACTTACGTACAGAAAGTCTTTCTTCAGAGCACATTATCTGTCACAAACTCTAGGTAATACTACATTTAAGAAGGCATGGGCCGGCCAAATAGCTCAGCGGATTAGAGTGTCTTCTTAGGCAGATGCAGGGGCTGGGATCTGATCCCTGGGCCTGCCCTGCTGACCCCGCCCCCAGAGTGGGCTGAGGAAGAGATTGAGACTGGGTGTGGCGGAGCCTGCCTATAATCCCAGCACTTGGGAGGCTGTAAACAGGAGAATCACTATGAGTCTGATCTATGCTGTGAGACCCTGTAGATCCTGTAGACCCGTCCTAAATACAGGAAAAAAAAATTTAAAAAGGCATAATCTAGAATTTGGCTTAGCAATTATGTCTTTGATGACTGTGAGAGGGACCCCTCAGAGGAAGGCTGTCCCCTCACCTCTGAAGTGAAACAAGATCCAGTGAAACGTGAGCTGAGAAAAAGTGGTCTGTTGTTTGTGAGGAAGTATATATGGCACTTTACTTTTCTTATCAATATTGTATCCTTTCTCCATACTATTGCTTGGGCCTGAAATATTCCCCAATAGTCCACGTGTCAAAAGCCTGGTTCACAGCCCAAGGTGCTTCTGGGAGTAGGCAAAATATTGGAGAGGTAGATCCTACGGGAAGGCTTCCAGTCACTGAGGTAGGCACTTGAACTGGAGACTGGGACACACACCCCACCCCTCCTATCTCTCATGGTTCCTGACATGTGAAACCTGTCTCTGTCTGTCTCTCCAGGGTCTCAATAGGTAGTCCAGGCTAGCCTCAAACTCACGAGCCCTTGCTTCCACATCCCCCGTGCTGGGATTACACATGTACCACCATGCCCCTAAACGTTTCCAAGTCAATTTACCTCAGGTATTGCAGACTAACACACTCCAGTACAAATCTGTCCTTCAAAATGCTCTCTAATAAACCCACTACCTGTGCCTTATCAGAGACATGTACCGTCCACACTAGTTACACATTTTAAGGACAGGGAGAAGTATACAGTCCTGGTCTCCCCGGGCAATGATGGATGGGTGCTCTTATATTTAACCATAACTTAAGACTCAGTACTCTAGTACAGCCATTGGCATTTCGGTTCTTTGCAAGACTGTATTGCATTGATTAGGTACGTCTTGGAGACAGGATCAAAGGCTTGGAGTATTTGTGAAATAAATCTAGGTGAAATAAGTTATATGTAGAGCTAGAAACATAAACTATATGCAAATTTAGTAGAACAAATTGCATTTCAAAAAGGGTGATTTTCACCTGGGATATAGCTGAGTGGCCTAAGTGCCTGCCTCGCAAGTGCAAGGTCCTGAGTTCAATTCCCAGAACCAAAGGAGGGGGATTTTCTGTACCTGTCTAAAAGAGTAATCCTTTTAGGATTGTTATTTGATTAAAAATATTAACTCTAAGAAAGAAATCACTTGCATGGTTACATAACCTAATAATAGTCAGATCTGTATCTTCCTCATTAAACACAATCTAAAACTGAAGATAAGTTTTAATTAGTTTTTACGTTATATTTACTAGAATAGACTATGTTTTAAGACATGTTAAGCAAAAATTGCTAGGAAAATACACATTTTAAAAATTTCTTAACACATGAATTTGCCTTTCTGGTCAAATAATCAAATTCAAGTGCAGAGGACCACCTCTCCTTCAAAGAAGAGCAATGGTGTCCACTTTGGCTGAGCCTGGCCCTTTTCCCTGTACTGCTGTGTGCAGAGCTGGCTAGGACTTTCCTTATTCCTTCAGGTGGCGTTAGGCAATGCAAATCGGTCCAGCCGAGGTGCAGATGTGTAGTCTTTGAAACAAGGTAACAGGGCAGTGTTACCCTACCCCTGGCCCTAGAAACCTGTAAGCTGGGCAGGATGGAATGCAGGCTCCATGCTCTCAGCTGAAATTGAGCATCGCGATAAGAGGCTATGACTTCCCAGGGCATAAAAGATTATACATCTCAGTGAAGCACTGATCCCAAAACAACAGATATTACCTCAATTGTGCCTTCGCATTATGCAGATTATGCTTTCTGCATCTCTCTCTTTCTCCCTCCCCCTCCCCTGCTCTTCGACTGCAGAGGTGAACGAAGGCCTCCTACCCAGCCCAGCTCACGGCACTCGCCTACTTCCTGCCTTTCTCACAGTCACTCATCCTCCAGCCACCCCCTTCTTCATGAATTAAGAAACCCAGGGTGGCTCTAGCTTGAGGCCTTTGTTGCAGTTAGCCCTTGTCCTAGCTGGACTTAGGACCCCTTGGCTTCCTACAACTACAAATACGCCTTTGTGTCTTTATTCTCTCCAAGGGTTGCACTGAAAGCAGTAGATAGGAATTAACTCACTAGAATTCCAATAGCTTTTCCACAGGATTACAAATATAAACCTGCCAGACCACGATTAGGACCAGAAAGGGCTCCCTATATACAAAGAATCCTATGTAGTCTCATTTCTAAGTTCTTCCTCATTTCTAGGAAGTACTCCCAAATGAAGATGCTTTGCTTCTGACAGTGGATGCAGAATCTTTAACTGCACTATTTGACAATTTCTATTGCCCTAGATTATCAATGAGGAATAACCCAATTTAAAATGCGTACTAATGCAAATAAGGAAAAACAATCCACACAGAAATGTCAATATTAATGACAGACATATAGTTGTACATAGCAATCTAGATATACCATTATATTATCTTCTTTGACATACAACTTCTTTATTAGTGTACTAAACAACAAGATCAGAGGCTGTCTAGTTGGAACCTATTTGCAATCACCAGGATGATGGAGACAAGAAGACAAAGTGTGAGGCCTGCATAGGCCAATTAGCAAAACTGATCTCAAAATTTAAAAATAGTTGAGGATATAGTTTAACACTCCTCAGGTTCAGTCCTCAGAGACACAAAAAACAAAACGAAGCTTGATAGTAGAGCCAAGATTCATGCTAATTATAATGATAATTAACATGAATATTTCAAGGTCACTGTAACATTTGAGAACATTTTTAAAAATCTCTGATTCCTACTGTGAAAGTTTCAGGTATATATTGACACAACATAGAACTCTATACCTCCAGTTTGGAAACTACATTCATAATTTTTAAAAATTCTGTTTCAGTTTGAGCTTTCCCACCTACCTAAATTCAGACTTCTAGATCTTTATAAAAGTGACAAATGTAATCAGTGTCCACCAATTGTGATTAGCAACTAAATGAATACAAGCTTTCACTTTCTTTCTTTCACTTGTAAAACACCATTAAATATTCAGAGGGCACCGACACAGAACCATGGCTTTAGTTATCAAGGGCAAGATCAAGGTTTAGGATGTGAAGACTCTAGTACAACGCAAGAAGTAGCTTCCAGGAAATCTGCTTTGCCCTCGAAGGTCAGGACAGCGCAGCTCCTTCAGTTAGGCAGCACAATTTGTTTTTCATGTCATGAAAATTTATGACGTACAAATGGTAATCTTAACTTTCTAAGATCAGGTTGGTGTCTTCTCTGCAATCTATCTTTAACCAATGCCATTATAAATATATGCAATGTCTAAGAAATATATTCAATGAAAAAACTACTAAACTAGTGCTAGTTTAAATATTTAATAAAACATATGACAGTCTTTGGCCCAACAATCTCACAAAGCCTAGCACAGTCAGTAGTTCAGGATCGGGGTGATCTGACATGGGCAGAAGAGGGAGAAGACTCGCACTGGTGGCGGCCCAAGACAAGAGCAGCAGTGGAGCTGCCATCTAGCCTATTCACCTCCTCTTTTATTTCCCCAAGAAAAAATCTATCAGCACAGCAGAGCAGCTGGGCCCAACATGCGCGTCGTGGTAGATCCAAGTGAGGGAAGGGCAGACTGTGATGAACCAGCAGAAGGCAAGGGTCTGTATGGTCCTAGCCCCTGGGAACACTGCTGGGCTCGTCAGCTCCTTCAGGTCTTCTTCCGCTGCAGGTACACCTTTGCTCTTTAGTACCACTTCCCCAGAACATCTCCTGTCCACTGGATGATCCCAGAAGGAAGAGGCATCTGACTGTGTTGGCCAGGTGGGACAATGCTAGCAAGCCTTGTGTGCTCTAAGTTCTCCACTAGGTTGGCTGAAGCTGTACTGGGTCTGCAACAAGTCTAAATTCTTACTCTCCTTCCATCCCACAGGTACTAATCCCTAAAAATATCTCAGATACCAAATTCTAGCTCATCATCTACTTCAAGAGACCCTGACACATGGCTCTTAGGTATATTTTGGTCACTCTAATACATTTCAGTAAAATATACCCAAGAGTACACACCCTACTTTCTGGTTTCCCTCATCACCAGCATTTCCCACCTTAATTGTCATGATGTCACCTACTCAGCAACTTACACATTTGGCAGGAAGCAGCTAAATAAGAAAGAAAAAAGCAAGAGTAACTAGCACACACACAGCCACACGTAAGTCACAACTCACTTGTACTGAGGAACAGTTTGGAGCAGTGGTTGCCGCAGTAGTCCCTACTTGTGCCAACGTCTTAACAGGTGCCGCCGCCACTTTCTTGAGCAGCTGTGAGCTAGAATTCTTAGGGGGAAGAGACAAGATAGCAAAGTCATCAGTACTAGTTTCTTACAATCAATCAGGACTGTGGAGAACACAAGAGCAGCTGTCCCTTGGAAACTTACTTGTTGTAACTGGATTTGTAATATTAAGGGCACATGCGCACTCCGTACTATCACCCCAAACAGTGAGCTTGCCAGGTGGCACCCGTTTCACATTTCTAAGGCACCAAATCCGTAAGCACCCTTTTATCTGAAGCATCACACAAAATAAGCACTATAGCATTCTGCATTGAAAGCTTGAACTTGACGGTGACTGTACAGGAGCCATATAAATTCTTATTTAATATTTAAATAGCAACAAAACCCCACTACTCCATATTCTTAACCCACAGAGAGAGCAAATAAGAAAGGGAGAGAGCCAAGAATTATTGACAGAGAAAATAACTAGTTAAGCATCTAGAGTCAAATGAGAACATAAAAGGTGAAAGATTTATAGGATCTGAAGAGAAACCAGAGTATTCAAATGAGAACATAAAAACAAACAAAATGGGCAAGGAATTATACTGACCCCAAAATGGAATTTTAATTCAAATGGCCTGAGTCATTAAGAAAATGTTAAACTATATTCAGCATTTTATGTTTAAATAAAAATATCCACAGAAATATTTTAAAATTCTGTCCCATAAGCTTCAGTCATCTAGAAAGATCACTATGTATATAAAAAAAATCATTTTCTAACATGTAAAGCTAATGATCTATTACAGCTCTTGTTGTATGTCTTAATTTCTACACGGTATAGATAAAAATGAATGTGATTCACAAGAGCCTTACTGTCCCACTACAAGTGAAAAGTGAAGCAGAATGTTTACTTTCTTTTAAGATGCAAGTTGCCCTTTTGAACATCCTTAGAGAATTATAAAATTTTTGAGTATAAAGATTGAATTTTTGCACATGCCTATAATCCCAGCACTTCATGGGCTGAGACAGGAGGATCACTAGAATCCAATTCGTGTAGTGAGACCCCGTAGACCCTGTACTGAATACAAAAATAAATAAATAAAAATTTAAAAGGACTGAATTTCCATTCAATCTTTACTAATTATCAAATGATAAAACAAAAAACCTTAATTAAATCAGCATATTCAAAGAAAGTCACTTAGTTTAAGAGGCTGAGTTACACCATCTCAAGTTATTCTTACTAAGAAATATATACACCTTTATATGAAGGAATCAGCCGGCACGCTGAGGAGGGTAGGGGATTTACCGTCATCGTGCAGATCTTGACGGCTTGCGTGGTCACCGGGACCGCTGGCCGGGCAGTTACGGTGCTCGCGGCTTCTGCTCTCGTCACCCCTGGCTGAGGAGACACCAACATCAACTGGCCACTGTTACTTCTGATCAAAACTGTTCCTGGAGTTAAAAAGGAGAAAACGTAAGTTGAATTCATAAATAACAAGCATCACGTACACTTCCTTCTACCATTTCAGCACTGTAAATAACACTCAGTATGCAACAAATTCCATGTGCACTGAGTACATACAAGAGGGTGGTACGTGCTTCCACTGAAGGCTACTTAACATATTAAAGAGTCTAGTAAACATCTGGGAAAATACTCTTGAAAGGAAAACAGTTTTTCTCATGATACCAAAATTATAAAGCTGTATTATTAAGTTTGTACGGCAACAGCCCACCACTAAAACAAGTTGGTACAGAACAGAACCCCAAAATAGACTTAATTATCACCCAAAAAGTGCTTGGCCTCACTAGTATTCAGCTTTTATAATTTTTTGGATTTTTAAGTATTTGCATACACTTTAACAATTGACTATGTAATGTGAAAAGCCAAAATTGACTATGCTTAAAATCCAAAAGTTTTGGATTTTGAGCTAGGTATAATGGCACATGACTATAATCCCAAGGCTATGGGAGTTTAATCCCAGCCTTGGCAATTTCGTGACTCGGGGAGAACTTTTTTTTTTTTTTTTTGTATTTTAGTATAGGGTCTACAGGGTCTACAGGGTCTCACTACGTAGATCAGACTCAGTGATTCTCCTGTGTTCAGCCTCCCAAGAACTGGGATTACAGGCATATGCCACCATGCCCAGTCTCAATAGCCATTTCAGCACACCATTTTTTTTTTTTTTAAAAGAGAGAAACTGGGGAGAAATACCTCAGTGAGAAAGTCCTAGATTCAGTCTCTAGTATTTTGCACACACCAAAAAATAGCCTCAGATTTTGGATTAGACTCTCAACCTATGTCAGTTTTTTATAAGAGGCCCCACAGCCTCAGAAGTAAAGAACTGACTACAAAATAAACAGGGTTGGGTCTATTAGCTGTGGGAAAAAATTAAATGAGATATCTGTTTCTCACACATTCACTAGTGATACAAAAGTAAAACTAAATTTAACTTAGTATAGAAAATTATCTTTTGAACTTACAATAGGCAAGGACAGGGACTTCTTAAAAGTAAGTAAAATGTGATACATTCAATTACATTTAAAGTAAGAACTGATTACCAAAGGAGCTCTTTAGTTAAAAGACAAGGCACAAAAATGGAATAAGACTTTATTTTTTTGAATAAAACTTTAGTTCACATATATTCAAAGGACAAGTATTCAAAAGTGCATATAAGAAACAAGGCGACAGCAAAAGGAGGTAAATTAAGACCACAGTGAGCTATCACTCCCTTCATAGCTACCTAGAATGGTAAAAGTAAGCCCAATGACAGTTAAAAAGGTTCTGTCATGCTTGGTAGGTGTAATCTGACACAACTTGACCCCATTTACATGACTGCGCCAAGCTGTTTCCCTCGGCACGCCCTACAACCCAGCCTTCCTAACTGGAACAGTCACAGCTGGAGCTCCACTTCCAAAATGGCAGCGTGAGCAGCCCCTCAAACCTATTCCCCAACAAAACAGACAGTGAAAATTATTTTTAATACAACCAGTGAAAGCCTTTGAAAATAAACTATCAATACAAATCTATATAGTCATGAAGAATAGCAAGAACCAGTGGCATGTGAACTGCAACCAACCGTCTCCCTCTACTTTCTCAGCTTAGCACGACAGAAACTGCACTTACCGTAGTACAGCCAAGAACACAAAGCTCCCTGTCTCCTGAGCTTCCTGCAAAGGCTGCGCTACCTTCCTGGGAGAGGTGAATCCCAGCTCTTCCCTTTCTAGAATCTGCACCCCACACCCATACTGAAGATGATAAAGTTAAGACACATACATCCCAGAGTTTCAAGAGGTTCTCTTCTTCCACCTGTCCCCACTCATAGAAAAGAAGGCTCTATACTTCAGAGATGGCACACTGAGAATGCTGGGACTCCAGTGACTCCAAGCCCAGCTCCTTCACAAGATTGGGGCTTTACGCTGACTAGTCAGGGGAGACTAGAGTGTCACTCAGTCCCACCTAGTACCCCGTTCCTAAAGCAAAGGGGCCAGTGGAAAGAAGCACGCCATATAGGCCTGGCATGTGCTCTAAAGTTCTCCCTAAAGGAACAGAATTGCTTTAAATAAAGTGTGGACAAGATCAAGGGCACCCCCAAATATGGTGGAGCTATTAAAAGAAGACTAGCATTTCATGAGAGGTTAAAGCTAACCCACAGGTACAGAGTCCTTCCCAATTAGGTGGAAAACAATCGAAACAGCTCGACAAAACTTTAAACAGGATAAATACAAAGAGCTATAGCAATATATGGCATAGGAGAAATGTTTTTAAAACAGTGAAAAATGAAGACAACACCTGTTTAAATGAGACAGGACTAGAGAAACAAAAATAAATAAATAAACACAGAAAACAAAAGTAAATGGTAGACCTAACTCCAACTATATAAACCATTAAATATAAATGTATTAAATACTCCAAGCAAAAGGCATAAAGTATAGGACTGGATTTTAAAAAATCCAAATCCACCTATGTGCTACCTATTGAGACACATAAATTAGATTAAAAGCATTCAAGGATACAGGCATCATAGTGCATACCTGTAATCCCAGCACTCTGAGAGGTTGTGGTAGGGGAACTGGAAGCTCAAGCCCAGTGTCTCAGTTACTCTTCTTTCATTGGTGGGACAAATACCCCACACCCCAAATGAAGGAAGGTAAGATTTATTTAGCTCACAGTTCCTGGAGGTTTCACTCTATACTTAGCTGACTCCAAGGAAGAGTGGCACACAGCACAGACCAACCTTTCATGGCAGCAGCAAAGAGCAAGAGCAAAAGGGAGGAGTAACAGGAACAGAGGCTACTGAGAGCAAGTCTCTCTCCTCCTCACCTGCCCTGCCTAGGTGTAGCACTCACAGACTTAATCCCAGCAGTACTCAGACCCATAACCCCAGCCTTGGATCATCAATGAATCACAACTCTAGGACCATGCCCCAGTGACTACATGAGGCTTTGCAGGGACAAACATGCACAAACCACAGCACCCGGGATAGATAACTTAGCAAGATCCAGTCTCAAACAAAAAATAAACAAATAAATTTAAACAGCTGAAGATGTACCTCACTGAGAAGGCTCTGCCCTCATTAATATAATTACCCCCTTAGGAAAAAAAAAAAAAATGACTACAGTGCTCACCACTAGTATCAAAGTAATTTATACAAGGAAAGTCACTAGAAATTTTTAAGTAAAAAAATAAAAGGTGGGGCTGGGGAGACGGCTCAGTAGAATAAGTGCTTCCCTGGCAAGCACAAGGGCCTGAGTTCAATCCCTGGTTCCACAAAAAAATAAATAAACAGTATTTATAATGATAAAGAGCCTAATCAGAAAGATGCAACAGCCAGGTGTCATGGCACATGACTGTAATCACAGAACTCAGGCTGAGCCAGGAGGATCAACGTGAGTTGGAGGCCAGCTTGGAATACATAGCAAGTTTAAAGGCAGCCTGAATTATACAACAAGACCCTGCCTCCAAAGAGAGAGAGAGAGAGAGAGAGAGAGAGAGAGAGAGAGAGAGAGAGAGCTGTACATTTGAAAAACAAAACTTCAACATTTTAATCAGAACTTTTCATTAAAAACAAATTATAAATAAAGAGAAAAATAGAGAATTCAACAATGATATTGATATCCGCCCAAACCCAGGCCCTGCGAGTGTGTGGGAGAGCTTCTGCTCTGTCCTGCGCCTGCCGGACCAAGCCCAGGCCCAAGCCCAGGCCTGCCACATGAGAGAGACCTTTCCCAGCATTCTCCAGACCTCTTTCGCCCCTCCAGAGCCAGCACAGCCCGCCTTGTGAGTGAGAACTTCCCCCAAGCTCCAGGGAGCCCTACAAACCTGCCAAAGCGAGGCCCAGTGAGTGTGTGGGAGAGCTTCTGTGGTCTCCTGCCCCCTCGCTCATTCCCCTCCAGAACCAGCCCAGGCCTGGCATACAGGCCTGGGGTGAAACTCCACAGCTAAAGTCCCTGCAGTGAGACTAGGGTCAAAACCATGCAGCTAATCCAGGAGCAGAACATCTTGCCAGAGGTGCACAGCAGGCTTACCTCTAAGGCAGCAGCAGGAAGGAGCTAAGCACAGTAGCCAGACCCAAGGCACAACTGCAAAAACTAGAACATGGTACATTGGTAACTGAATTTCATTAGGCAATAAGGTTATAACTGGACCAAAGCTCTACAAGGAGCAAAATGGAATCTCAGGCCTCAAGCCCACCCAGAACAAGTGCAGAGGACACTAGCTCAACTGAAATGTATGAAGTAATAGCATCAGAAGTAAATAAACAACAGCAGAAAGGTATAAAGGAACTCAGAGCAGAATTAATTTCTGAAATAAAAAAAGGAATCTCTGAATTACAGCATCTAAAGTAAAGAATCAAATACAGAAACATGGAGAAAACCCAATCTGAAAAAAACTCTGCAGTAAAAGAATTAATAACTGCTTCTAAAGAAGACATTTTAAAGTTCAACATATCAATATTTGATGGAAAATACCTGTTCCATGATATGCCAGAATGTTTGATACTTAGACAGATAGGGTAAAATGAACTGCATATATTGCAGGCTAATAATTACCTTCGGTTCTGGAGAGTTAACAACCCAACTTAGCAGTTCAAAATTGGAGAAAAGGAAGGGCTGCAAGGTCAGCCAACATTTTGGCCATAGCCTTTCAAGGTCAGTGAAGATTCGGGACATAGGAGAACCTGTACTGTAACAACATGTAACTCAGTTGTGCTCCAAATCTTCTGATCAGGAAGATTATGGAGCCACAGAGGAATGTGTTCGATGAAGTACAGTGTGTCTGGGGAGAGTCACATGGAGAGAAAAAACATTTTCTCAGGCTTTCACAGAGAGCAAATTGGTCAAGCAATGGCCATGACTCATCCACATGTCTGACACTGACAAAATGATGTACAAAGAGTGGTACAAGGCTACAAGATAAATCCTGAGAGTACTTGGCTAACCTTATCAGATAC